TACCTGCACAGTTTCCATCTTCAATTAACTGATGTTGCAGTGATAACAGATATCTGTGGGGGGTGAGACCCTTTTGTTTCTGCTGGTTTATTATTCCTGTGCTCCCTTCTGTCTCTCTGTAGATAGAGAAAAGACATTTGGCAGAATGATGGTGATTAGTATGGAACTGATTATTTTAGATGGAACATTAGCAGTGGCGGTTAAAAGTGCAGGTAATCGGGTTATTAAAGAACCTATTGATCAGTGATTGGCTCCATTTTGTGTAAATAATGGGAGACACAGTATCACTGACTGTAGTACTGTCCTTATATGTTTACCTACGTCTCTCTGTTTAGGATTTAAAAGAAAAAGGGTAAGCGGTCAATGTCAGTCAATGTCGAGCCGAGTTAAAACGTAATTGAACGGGCATCCTTTCAAGTGCAAAGTTAGTCCACTAAACAAGCTTTTTCTCCACAAAGACCGCCTCATATCGTTAGGATGAATGTCAGAGAACATATAGAAAACGACATGTAAACGCGTTGTCTTACCTTACCGGTGTGGTGCCATGTTTGTTGTTTACCATTTAGCTAAGGCTGCAACCAGTCCCATTCCTTGCAACAGAGGCATTCCTCTTCTGTGGGCATTGGGGTACAGCATTCACAGGTAACGTTACACCACCAATCTCCAGAGCTAAAGCCTTCCAGCAGCCATTCCTCCTCTGTCGTCCTCTACCTGTTGTGCCTCTCTCTCTCTCCTCGTCCGTTCTTCAATTTCACGAAGCTCTTCGTCAGTGTATTCTGGCTCAAATAAATAAGGGCGGAGCAAGCAAAAGTCCTAGGGGGACAAAGCCTTCTCTATCGCTGCTCCGACCCTCTGGAATTTACTCCCCAAACCCATCTGAGACTCCCCCTCTCTCTTCATATTAAAAAAATTACTCAAGACTCTGTTCAACGCTGCATACAGTCACTGACAGTTTCTTGTGAGCCCTTCTGTGTGGAGCTTGCATGTTCTCCTTGTGTCAGAATGGGCCGGGTACTCCACCTTCCTTCCACAGTCCAAAGACATGCACATTAGGTTAATTGGTGACTCTAATTTGGCTGTAGGTATGAATGGTGAATGGTTGTCTGTCTCTAGCCCTGCGATAGTCTGGTGACCCATCCAGGGTGAACCCCGCCTCTCGCCCAATGTCAGCTGGGATGGGCTCCAGCACACCTGCGACCCCCAACAGAATTAGCGGTTATGGAAAATGAATGAATGAGTAACACTATAAGTGGTTTGCTTTTCAGCCTGAGTGTGTTTTGAAGGAAAGAAGACAGCCCTCAGCATAACTTCAGAGAGCATCAGATATTCGTTCAAAGATTTACTTTGGAAAAGCAAAACACGGAAATTAGAGGCTGAGAATAAAGGAGCCAAGGCCTTGGTACACTTCAGTGTCTTTTACCATTATAAACAAGTTAATGTGGAGCAGTAGTAAATGAGAAGTTTGCCAAAACTGCCTTGAAACCCTTTTTTATGCTAACCTCTAATCATGCATGAAAGATCTGTCACAACACTGCTGCATGAATGCCATGCAATAATGAAGGCAGGGAGCACATGATTGGCTGACTTCTGTCTTGCAACCCACACTGTGAGAAGTCAGCTGGCCAATTAGCCACCCAGTTAGTCACTCAGCCAGTCTGCCAGTGAACAGCCGGTCATCAGTCAGACAGTTGGCTACAAAATCATTCTCTCCCTCAGCAATTATTTCATACTCAGAGACACGACTGACTCTTAGGACTGTCTCCAAGTAATTGGTCTCTGATAAATGGTTGTCACCCAGCAGCGACAGAGACAATACAAAACCACAGGAAAAAATGAAAAAGAAAATGGTAAAGAAAGGTTCATCTGTGACACCAGCAGATCCAGAAACAACAGTATTTGATTGAAACAGAGATGAGGTTGAAGGAAAAATCATGAAATTGATTTGTGTTGTATTTTACCATAACTGTAGTAAACAAATGGGTGTGTAGTCCGATCATAATTCTGAAAGTGACAGGGTGAGTCTCTGTGGTCTCTTCCCTCGTCTCCTGCAATCTCACTGGTGTTGACAGATGTTTTGAGAGATTGGTCCTTCAGGTTTGTCTCGTGAGGATTTAAAACCCCCTGAACCAAAGTCGACATCAATCTTTCTAAAGATCAGACTTACTGCAGGACTGTTGGATTCCATTATACTGCACAGAGGCACCTGCTGAACTCGTAACTCAGTGTGATGTTGTCATATTTTTGGACTTACACCCAACACTTGCAGACATTAATTGCATCATAATTGTTGTGCCTTTCTGTGACCATTTTTTGGGTCCTGACCCAGTGCTGGATAAACAGTGCTGTGTGGAGTCACGCCAACGAGAGGAGGGAGTAACTTCCTGGCACACCGGCATCATGTCAGCATACTGATAACACAGCCTGGAGAAGAGCAGCTTCATATATATTCATTTATTCATCCCCTCTTTATCTCTTGTGTCATCCTCTCTCTCTGTCTGACTCATTGTCCGATAGAGTTCTGCAGGAATGAGGCCTGAAACACAGAAATGAGTTGGCAGGTTTGCACTTCTGGTTCCCTCATTCCTAAACTGATGTTTTTGTTTGTTTGTTTTTTTATTAGTTTTTGGATAGAAGCTTGAAATAAAGTTGTGTTTGACACAAGCTTAAGAGACTTTTAAGTTTTGTTCTACAACATTAAATATATCAGTTAATCCCCCAATCATACCTTTTGAAGCTTTTACATGTCTTAAAAAAGGTTGAAGCTAACAAGTGGCTAACTGAGACTACAGAGGTTGTCGGGGCATTAAATATCATCTACTCACTAGTTCCCCTTTCTATCATGGCCTTTACAGCCCTGTTGTGTTGTGTTAAACTGGCATTCTTGCAAACTAGTTTAATTCAAACTTTTCACCTTGTAGATTTGTCACTTTATAGTATTTTTTAATTGAAATTAAGTTGGAAGCTTAGTGGTGTTGACGGTGTTGATGTCTTGCGACCATGGTGTAGTTCGTTTATAGCCTATCGTGAGCTTTTTACTTCTCGCAATTGCATTTACGCTTCAAAAATCATAAAAGTTGTATTCATTTGTGGGGATTAACTTGCTAAAGAGAACGTGTAAATATCATCAACTATTTGCAACAGAGCTCATTTTCTGCAATAATCCAAAATCCAATATAAAAATCTAATAGAATTGTTGGCTGTTTTTTGAGGGCGATGTTACCCAACTGGCACCAGACATCAGTATGACAGTGTGTATGGCAATATTTTAAATGTCTAACATTGTAATTTCATTTTGTGTGGATGTGACATGTGATTGGGCATTGTTCCCCATACCTTCTGACTAAACGTTGTTATTCTACATTAAGGTGACATTTGCATGAGACGTTTGGAAGACAGTGGATTCACAGCTTTAAACTGATGAAACATCACCGTAATCTATTGTCAGTATTATACATCAAAATGACATTGGCATTAGATGTTGTCCTTACAATACATTTTAGTGACCTGACATCAAAACATAGATTTAACCCAATATCAGTCTGACAACATGGGTGGCCAGGAGTAGGAGTTCTTGCAAATGGACACAAACACACATTAACAGGTTTATTGCAGGAGTTACTGAGAAAAGAGATCACCAAGGTGAGTGAATGGAGGAAGCAGAGGGAATGAGTTGGCAGGTGGGTGAGCAGGATTCCTGGAGCACAGGGAACAAACAAGCATAAGGCGATAACAAAATACACAAGTCACAAGATTGGTGCCCTAAACGTAGCTACCAGAGAGACTGGAACAGTCTGGCAATGAGTAAAAGGAAAACTGGGGCTCATGGACTGATTGTAGCTTGATGTGTGGTAAACCTGGAGAGGGGAAGAGCTGATTGCCAGCAGGTGTGTTGGTAGGCAGGGTCCAGGTCAGCATCAGTGCAAAGAGATTCACATGCACACACACAGACAAACCTGCGACATGGAAGATAAGAGGAGTGAGGAACAAAGTGAAACACAAGGGAGACACAGGAGCAGTACTGTGGCAGTGACAGATAATGAAGTCGTCTAAAGCAGCCTTTTGTCAATGTGACTCAAAAGCTCTCAGCCAAAACCAATAATAATTAACGTCCTCTAGATAGCTTATCAAAGCTCGTTTGTTTTCCCCAGTGAAGTAATAAAATTTTTCTCTCCAGGGTTTTGTCAGTAATGGCTGATATAGAGGGCAATAAAAAATAATTGCTTGGTGTCACAGTATTTTGTGCAGGTATCAATTTGTTGATTTGTGCTGCAAGTGTTATTGATTCAGGAGCAAACTGTGTGTGAGGCTGCAGATTTCAGACGCTGGCTGAGTGTGGAGAATACAGCAGGGGATTTTTTACTAGAAAAATGTTTAATCCATAGTAATAATTGTTTTCTGACATTAGTTGGAGAACAGATAGAGCTTTAGGTTCCTTGAATTGCAAAGGTTTTGATTTGTTTGCGAGTAATCCAGATAATATGATATATATATATATGATTCATTTCAGTCACTTTTTGTCATGTGATAATTATGTGATTGATTTGCCAACTTTGATCTTTATATTGATGTCACAAAAAAGTTAGAATATTGAATTACAACAGTGTATTGCAATATAATACTGTTGATTTTAACCATATCACCCAGCACAGCTACCACCTGTACATTGATTTTGGCAAAGCAGTAGAGAAAGCAACGCACACACAAACACACACACAAACATAAAACAGACTCATAATTACATGTAAATTGTTCTTAATTACGGCTCATTTCATTCTAAAATGTTACTGGCATTATGCCAGCACAGTGGAAAATGTTGTTTATCAAGTTGTTTACTTTCGTTTTATCCCTCCGCTCTCTCTCATCCCTGCCTCCCACCTCTCCATGTCTGCCTCACCTTACATATCCTCCCCCATCACTCGCTCAATCTTTTTTTTTGTCTTTTCTTCTCCTTCTAATTTCTGCTCTTGTCTCTACTCCCCCATGTCTCTCATCTCTTGCAGTTTAAGTGTTGTGGAGGTCAGGAGTATACAGACTGGTCAGTCAACATGTACCACAGTTGTTCCGCACCTGGTCCGTTGGCCTGCGGAGTCCCTTATACCTGCTGCATTACTACTAAGGTAGGTCTACCTGTTAGCATTACTGTAAGTATCATCATATTAAGTTCTATTCCACCTGCTGTTACTGTTATACAGTGACATATACTGACTGTCTGTTGGGTTTCCTGTTGTATCAGGTAAAGTGGCCACCATTGCTACACCTCTCTGCACTAAACTGCTAATGGCACAAAAAAAACAAAAAAAACAATCAGAGCCGAGGAGTCTCTAATCCAGCTATTAATCATTATTGCTCATGAACTGTGATCAAACTATCAGACTAGGCAGAGCTGATCAAATGTGAATCAAGATTCTGTTACTGCATTGCCTATTCCTCACCTCCGATGTTTTCAGAAACATATTTTAGTGTACTGTTTAGCTGTGAAATGAGAAGACTGGTGACTTGGCCGCCATGTTGAAAACAGTTGAGCCAAAAGGAAGCACCACACACCAGCCAGAGCACACTTCCATTTTACAGCGAAACAGTACAGCAGTCGGAATGAGAGCCAGCACCTCCAAGTCTCCAAGTTGCTGCCCCAAGTGAAGGAGTTCAAGTATCTTGGAGTATTGCTCACCAGTGAGAGTTAGGCAGTTTGGCATGGCATCAGCAGCGATGCGGGTGCTGTGCTGGACTGTCGTGTTGACGAGGGAGCTGAGTCTGAAGGCAAAGATTCCAATTTACTCATCCATCTACGTCCCAACCGTCATTGATGGTCATGAGCTCTGGGTTGAGACAGAAAGAGTGAGATAGCGCATACAAGGGGCTAAAATGATTTTCCTCCATAGGGTGGATGGGCTTAGAGATAGGATGGTGAGTTCAGACATCCAGAGGGAGTGCTCCTTCACATCAAAAGGGGCAGTTGAGGTAGTTGAGGCATCTGATCAGGATGCCTCCTGGGCACCTCCTATAAGAGGTTTTCCAGACACATCTAATTGGTAGGGGGCCCCGGGGCAGACCCAGAACCTGCTTGAGTGATCATATATTTCGCTGCCGCTGGATCCCCCAGGAGGTGGAAAACGATGCTGGGGAGAGGGACATGTGGAGTACTTTTCTCAACCTGCTGCCCCTGCGACCCTGCAGCGGATAAGCAGATTTGGATGGATGGATGCATGGATGGATGGATGGATGGATGGGGTGCACATAATATGTTTCTGAAAACATTTGCAGCAGTAAATAGACAATGCAGTAACAGAATCTTGATTCATATTTGATCAGCTCTGCCTAGTCTGAGAGTTTGACCACAGTTCATGAGTCGTGGTAGACATGATTTACAGCTGCATGCAGACTCCTCTGCACTGATTGGTTGTTGTCATTCACTTGGGGTTAGGCCCTTATGAGTAATACAAGAAGGAGGAATATGATTTTTTTCTTGGACTATCCGTCTCATGTACTACTACAGTTCCAGCAAATTTGACAAAAGTTGATTTTATAAAAATAACTGTAGCTATACACTGTAACAAGTTTTGAAGATCAGTGTTAGATACTATGCAACTTTACCTAATGAGCTTGGAAAAAGCAAATATTTCAATCTTTTTGGCTCTGTTCATTTAAAATGACCCTGAAGTCTTTAACACAGGGTTCATTTTGCATGTAATTAACGTAATAACTGTAATAGTGTGGAGTTACGTTTAAAAAACATCTCATCATCCTTATGATGGTGATTAAGCCTTTGCCATGCCAGACACACTCACGGCAATTTTCTCCCACACAAAACAGCATGTGTGCTCCCTTTAATTTATACACCTGCCTACGCTCCCCAGAGTTTAGAGAGAACGAGAGCAAACAAACAAAAACTTTTTAGCGAGACAAGAAAGAGTTTGATGACAGTGCCAACTCTGTCTGATAGCTGGGCTCAGGAAACCACAACTCTGTTATCCTCCTTTATTATTTATCTTTTTCTCAACATGAAATTCAGTTACAATAGTATCACTATTAGAAATTCTGTGGCCTGCATTTCACATTATTAACTACAACACAGTCCCTGATTGGCTGCTTACATCTTCAGCTGTGGTGTCCAGATTGTATTTTGCATACAGAGAGTAAAACAGAATGTTGAGCTCACATCATCAGGATCGTCTTACCAGGCTACTATGATTCATCGTCTCTCTATAATATGTAATGAAAATTCTCATATTTGAGATATTGTGGTTCACAGATTTCCTTATGAATGAATAAATTAAATATGAAACACGTTAGGTGAAGGATGAGAAAGACTGACAAAATACATTACAGCGTATCCCAGAGACAGAGACTTATGGTAGGTGGCAGGAGCTCCTGACGCAAAACACATGACTTGTTGCACCTGATTGACAACTGTTGCCCTTCAAACAGACTCGTCTTGGCTAACAAACAAGAAATGCACAGATTTAGAGATTTATTTGTACACTTTTTCCTCAGAAGTATTAAAAATACACTAAGCAGGATTTTCCTCCTTTGTCACCTATGACTCACTAGAAGTGCGTGCCGTATTTTTCTGCAGAGACTTTGACCTCAGCCTGTGTGTTTTTATTTTCCTATTCTTTTCTGTGTTTGGAAAGTTTATGGGTGTGTTTCAGTAAGCAGGTGAGGTCGGAGCTTTCTACAAAGGTAGTGAAAACCGTGTCAGACCATGAGCAGCAGGCATCCAAGAGACACAGCCCCGGAAAAACCCAAATAATGCGAGGCGAAATGCCAAACGAGAGTGAATCTGGGGTTGGCTTTCACTTCCACTTTCACTGGAAAGTGTGTTTCTAAACAGTACCCAACAATCGTATGCATTTAAAGGTTTAGTGTGTAGGTTATAGTGGCATGTAGCAGTGAGGCTGCGGAACTGAAACTTCTCCCCTGTGCCAAGAGAAGAACATGTAAAAGGCCCTGTCTAGAGCCAGTGTTTGATTTGTCCATTCTGGGATACTGTAAAGTAACATTTTGGACTCTGTGGCAGTGGTCCTACTCCATATTTGATTTTAAATGTCTCATTTTAGGGTAATGAAAACACAATAATTCAAATTTTCAGGTGATTATTCACAAACGAAAGAATAGTTATGAATATTAAATACCATTTGTGCCAATAGATGCCCAAAAATCCTACACACTGGACCTTCAAGTGCCAGGTGCCAAGAACAGCCGGAGTCTGCACATATCATCATTAAAAATCTATGAGAATACATTATAATATATAACAAAGGACATTTCCTGCACTCCACTACACATACACTAAAAGTGATGTCTTTCTTGTCCAACAATTGTGTAATTAACATCTTGGATAATCTGGATTATATTTAGATAATACATTATATTTGCATCCATGCATTGTGCATTATAAATGACTCATCAGTACTGGCTTTAATGACTGGTCAAAGTCGAGCGACGATAGCTCACGAGTTCAGTTTTCTATTTTAATCTTTGTAATTATCTTTGTAATTGCAGGCCTGTGTGTTCATATTAACACAAAGCAGCAATTAACTCCACTTGATGGAACATCGCGTTTTAAGTTTTACCACTTGATTCCTTGAAATGTGTAACAGCGCCTGCAGTCAAGCTCGTACCTGTACACTGATTTCAGCTGTTGCTGTTTAAGTTACATTACAGTCAATTATAGAAGAGTGTATCAAAGACAGTCACTTTGCAGAATCATGAGCAACAACTGATGACAGTGTGGTGTTGAGTAAATTACCATCCCATTCTTACTTCAAGTCATAATACCGTGGTAATGTTTAAAAAATCTAAAACAAATGTGATTAATAAAGCCAATAAACTGTGTAAAGTGACTTCAAGTAGGTGATCACTCCTCCCCTCCTCCTCTTCCTCTGCCAGACTGCTGAGAGCAGTTTGTCTCCTCTCATTTGAATATATGAATACATTTTAATATTTGAATATGGAAACTCACAAGCTCAAAGTCATAAGGCACATTTACACACACACACACACACACACACACACAGTTCCTCTGGTGGTGTCTTCAGCAGTCTTGTGGTTCAGGACTGTCATTTGTGTGTGCGCATGAGAGAGGCTGTGAGTCAGTGTGTGCGTTCCTCTGGTGGTCTATTTGATGTTTTCAGTTAAATTCCAACTAAAAACTCACCTTCTTCTTTCTGCTGTCGATTCCTCTCAAGGCTAAAAGCTTTTCACAGACTTCTGTTTTTTTTTTTGTTCCTACATCATAGTAACTGTATCTCTTCCCTCTGCCTCTCTCCCCTCCAGCCTAATGAAGTGGCCAACACTCTGTGTGGGTACAAAGTGATGGAAAAAACGGTAAGACACTAAAGACTGACTCATATGACTGAATACGGAAAAGCCTGATGGCTCATTAAATCAGATCCTCTCCTTTAATGTCGGTTTTGAACATTTTGCCTGCTTTGACAGACAGACCAGTTTTTAAGGGGCCCTGTGATGCTCGATGTCAGGTTCATACATGTATTTAAGGTCTTTAAAAGAACATTTTTACATACTGTAATGTTCAAAAAACAATTTTTTTCTCATACTGTCTGTGGTGGAACACCTGTATTCACCCTTTGTCTGAGACACTATATTTTCTTGACCGTCTCTTTATGCCCCCCTCCAAGAAACACCCAGTCTGATCTGATTGGTTAGCGTTTCATATATTAGTATATCTGCAGCGTCATTGCGGCTGGGGAATGACTGTAACACAGAATAGCGGTACTTTCTACCATAAAAAAAACACCAATAAAAGTTTCTAAACACAAATGCACATGTTCCAGCAGGAAAATGATGTGAAATCAGGGGAGAAAATGAAAAACTGAATAGAAATCAGGCCCTGCAGATCCAGGATGTCACTGGGACTTGATCATTTGCATTTTAGTTATTTTATAAAGCGAATAAAGTGTTTGTTTGTTTTTATGTAACATTACTTGGGCAGAGTGTTGGATGGTGTGCTGCTGGTCTTAGATAATTCATTTATTTAAAAGACAGCATAATGCCTCAACTGAAGCTACATTAAAAAGCAGTTTGTGTTTTGCAGCGTTTGGAGTTGATTGATGTCATCCATACCAGAGGCTGCACTGATGCTTTCTTCATCTGGCTTATGGACAACTATAAGATTATGGCTGGACTGCTTTTAGGGATCCTACTGCCTCAGGTACACACACACACACACACACACACAAACACAGACTTGTCACAAGCCCTTAAACTTGTCACAAACTGTCATTCAAAGGGACTGTTCACACCAAAATCAAAAAATCAGGCATACTTACATTTGAACTTCTCTGGAATATAGCAGAACTAAATGACACTCAGCTTGTGGTGCTCAAAACACCAAAATAACACATTTAAAAAAAACTTAACAGCAGTGTCTCTTTCCAAAAATCATGACCTGGTTGACCTGGACAAGTTGACAGTCTTTACTGATGTACACTGTATAATTTGTTGAGAACAAAATTACTTAACAACAGTCAATGGAGACCAAAATCATCAACCCACTGAGGGCTGGATTAAAAATCACCCTGATAATCAAAGTAATAAACTGAAATTACAGGCTGATCTAACTTGTGTGAGTTTTATCACGACAACTCATAATGTGACTCAGTAGTGTGTACGGTCCCCGTGTGCCTGTATGCACTTCTGACAACATCTAGACATGCTCCTGATGAGTCAGCAGATGGTGTCCCGTGGATCTCCTCCCAGACCTGGATCAGGGCATTAGTGAGCTCCTGCACAGTCTGTGGCGGCACTTGGTGGTGACGGATGCACCGTTACATAACGTCCCATAGGTGCTCAGTTGGATTTTGATCAGAGGAACAAGAGGGCCAGTCAGTGGCATTAATGCCTTCATCATCCAGGAACTGCCTACACACTCTGGCCACATGAGAACAATTTTATGCAAATTGTGCCCACTGGTTCTGAAAAAACAAGACCGAAAGTCAGCCACTTTGGCAACAAGCAGTCTTGGGGAAATATCTGTGGGTGAATAATGACCACAAGATTATTATTATTATTATTATTCTTTTTTAATGGAAGAAATGAATGTAAACTACCCTGAAGACTTGGTTTAACTACTGTATAGCCATGACCACAACATGCTTAACCCCAACTCCTTTCCATGTAGTTTGTCCTCATCCAAAAGTAACCTTAACCTTAAACCAAGTCTTAATTGAATGATTTCTTTTGTGAGGAATTGCATTTGTCCCTAAAAGGGAGGTGAGTCCCCACAATGTGCCCGTGTTAGCAGATTTATGTCCCCACCACACAGACTTAGATGGCCCACTTGTTCCACAAATGTATTGATATCATTGCACAGCATGTGTCACGTAAATCTGACTTTTATCAACCTTTAACTAAACTTTTTGCGATACTTGAAAGGTAGAGATGTCATTTATACCTGTGACTTTCACAGAACAACTTTTGTACTACATCTGTAGAATTTTTGCCAAAAAATACAAATACAGCTGGCAGAGATTTAACAGGTGAAGCTTTAATTTCAGTGTGTCCGGGAATATCAGAAGCGCACTGAAATAAAACTAAGTTGGGGAAAATGTAAATCACTTCACCTTGGTGACATCTGTCAAACCAGCAGTAAAAAATATGCAGTTCACTTTTCACAAAATGCTTTACATGCTGGAACATTTAATTGAGGTATTCTGTACAGTTTGTTACATCGACCTATCAGGAAGAAAAGTATTTTATAATAAAAGGTTTTGGAACCTGTCTGACTGGTAATTTCTTTCAACATTAAAAAAAAACATTATATGAAAGATACCATGACGCTTCAACCCACATATACTCACATTATACATTCACATTATACATCTGTCACTTTTCATTTATATCCAGCTTTTTTCTAAATGATCCATTAGAGGATGTAAGTGTGACAGACACAGAAGTTTCATTACTGTGCCATTTCTGCTCTCTTGCATTTCATTTGAACTTCTGTCATACATCAAACTCATGAGACGCACACAGACACCCACTGACAGCCATGAATATAGAGTGTGCTTGCAGTTAATAAGCATGTTGGACTCCACTGAACTGTGAATTCAAGGGAGAGCAGAGGCTGTCGTCCAATTCGTATGTGGGGTGCTTCGCGCTCTCTCTATGTGGAAATCGATCCGGGCTGCCTGACAGCTGCTGGGCGAGGAGGCTGTCTGGAGGAGAATCGAGAGAGAATATCAAAACTTTAGATTTTATTTGAGGTCTGAATTACTATTTAGTAAACATATTGAATCGGTGTTAACTGTAGGTCTGATTAATAAATTAAAAAAAAGCATAAAACTTTCAGAAATCTTCAACAACAAAAAAAATTTCTTTTAATTTTCAGTCTTTTATCATGAATAACATTATATCAGGGGTCTTTTGTGTTTCAGCTGTAAAACATTTTAATTAAATAACTGGATAAGACTTCTTGTGTGTCAGATAGAAAGTGTATTTTGACTTGAGTTATATTGAGCAGTATCTTTACAAACTGTAGTTTTACGGATTTGTTTGCAATATAAATACAGAATACAAGTTTTTAATGATTGTGCGGATGTTTGTGATCAACTGTTTATTAAAGTCAATACATGGAGACACATTCACTTTTATCAAGCTGGAGCACATCACTACATTACGACACACCATCATATTGCATTACATTATCCATTTAAGTGTGATTGCAGCTGCGGCAGGGCGTTCCTGTTATGCATGACAGGGACCGCCAGGTAGACCATTGGTATAGGGAGGACAGGAATGTCGAGTAGCAACTGACCACATGTTTGTATTGTCCTGTTCATGAACAGTGGCTATGCATTTTGTTTTCAGTGTGTTCTGTCAAAATCGTAAAGGAGCTCTAAACGATATCTAGAGCATATTTATGATTCAGAGGTTGTCTGTACACAGTTCTCAGCATGGAGGTTGGTGACCTTGCAGCTAGCAGCTAACGGCATTAACAGCAAGATCAGTGCTAACACTGAGCTGACCGTGTAATAGACAAGTGTCCCACAGTCTTGCTCCATATGCATGTCTTTTATTTTGATGATGATGTTTTGGTTTTGGGGCCTTCTTCAACATCAACAATCACACTGAGACACAGGTACACTGATCTGTAATACAGGCCGCACTGTAGTCACACAGAGCTGATGGGGGGAACTGGAAGGTGGACACTACATTTCTGTGATGGTGCTATCATGGTATAAGCAGTAGCCTACCCACTGCAGTGCAGAGCAGAGTGGCAGTGATTAGCTAGCCAGTGGAATGGACGCACAGGACTCATGCACAGCCAGACCATCTACCACAACATCGTACAGAGAAGCTCAGATTACTACATTTATAGAAGAAGCATGACTTCATTCTCTGCTCAGGATGCCATTACTCCACAAATCTTTACATAGCAAATAGTGGTTTGCTGCTGTATTAATGCTCTGATTATCATGTAGAGCTCTTTTAAAGCATTTTACAGTTATTAGTGACTTTGATGAAAAAAGTAGGGCAAAAAAACTATTCCCCTGAGTGATATCAACATATGTGATTTGTACCTACTTGATCTAGCAAGTCAGCATCCATTGATGCTAATTATGTAATGCTGCTAGGGAAACGTCAAGTGCTAGCTTACTAGCTGCTAGCTTGCAGGCTGTATCCCCCAAAGGGTGATTCATTTTATCTGTAGACGTGGAATCCTGCTTGAAGAGCACCAGTATTTTTATGGCTTGAACTGCCATCATGAACATTCACATGAGCGAATGCCTCTAAATTGTTCCTGTGCCTGCATAAAACAATGATCCAGGTGCTGTCATCAATCAATCTATAAATCAAATGGTTTTATAGCACCTTTCAAGCAAACCAATGCGCTTTAAAGTGCTTTGCAGAGTGCTCATATTCGACGGGAACACCCCACCATGGTTGCATTCACATCTATCTATCACATTATGTGTGCAGATATCAAGGTTTGCAGGGCTGTTAACACCTGCAGAAGGACAGGTGATCCTATAAAAAGACATCTCATTCCTCTAAAAGTGGTCCCCTTCCGTCATTCTATTCCCAGTCTCTAACATGGGAGATATTAAGACACAAGGATAAGACCCAAGTGAGGGAAGCAAGGAGACATTTAAGACAAATGAGATGCAGCCATGGTGACCTCCCTTACTTAACTTACTTTCCCTCTCTCTTTCTGTCTCCAGTTCTTTGGTGTGTTAGTCAGCTGGCTGTACATCACTCGTGTCGAAGACGCCATCAGTGAGTACGGTCACTATATGGACCTACTGGACTCAAGCGCACAAACGAGACAAGCCAAGAGGCAGGGCCACATGGCCAAATGGTTTAAATGTATGCCAGAGATGGACTGATGGAGGCAAAAACAGCAGCGAATGGACTCGAGCCAACACTCACAGTTGGTTAAATTACTCCAGTGGATCCAGATACAGCTGCAGCCGCCTGCCTTTGAAGTGCAGGTTTACTACACGTTCCCTCCACTGTGGAGGAATAAATGTGTTGATGTTATGTTTTTTAAGAAGGAAATGAAAACAGATTATTGCAAGTTTGATATTCAAGTGTTCCTTTTTCAGTTTTATTGTTAACTTACTGTTTGTATCCAACACAAAAACATTCGCAGGACCCACTTTGGTTAATTATTAATGACTGTGTTAACATGCAGTGTACTAATGCATTAGTGGGTTCGTTTGGATAGGTGCTTTTAGCTGCATTGTGCCTAAGAGAGTCTCAGGGATAAACTCAGACACCAGTACAACCACTCTAGCTCCTTGTTTTATAATATAACGTGAAATTAATCTGTTTAGTTCCATCACATAGCCAGAATATACAGCACTGACTTTTCTTACTTTTATACCTGTATTCATTCATTGTTTGTTTTTTAAAACCAATTAAAGCATTGCTCAGCTCTTCCATACAATCACTGATGAAGCCGGTCCATTATCCAACCACTACTGTTGCCATAAACTATAATGCAGGCTATTGTAAGCGAAGACACTATTTATGTCATCTGGAAGCAGGACATGTTTGCCTTATTTGTACGTAGTGACTGGAAATACTCAAAGGTTTGAGAGTGAAATGAATTTATATGTAAGTTTGAGTTTGTAGAATAAGTTTTATACACAGTACCGTGCACATCCCCCAGTGACCACAAAGTCATTGCACACTTCATGATAAGTCCAACACAAGTGTTGTCTGTAGTGCTCACATTTGTTTTATCAAAGCCTTAACTTTGACTCTTCAAAATGCATTTCCTGTTCATCTTCACTCAGTTTACTGATACAATGAGGAGAAAAGGCTGACCTGGCACTGTAGGGCCTGCTGGTATGTTCCATTTTCACTGGGAATTCGGAATTGCAGAAATTTGTACTCGAATGCTCACTTAGGTCAGATTTCTGACTAGTTAAGTCATATAAGTTGGATGAACCTCACCAACCCTGACTACTAGGTTGGCTGCAGCTGGAGCAGCCACATGCCTCACCCACCGTCAGCCCCCTTTGCTCCTCCTTGGTTCAGAAGCAGATGCCCTGGAGAAAATGCAAAGTTGGGGTTTAGCTAGCTGTGAAGTATTAGGTTAAAATAGAGGTGGTTATTGCTAAAGGAATACTTCAACCACCAGATGACCATTTGTATATCAATTACTCAAGTTTAAGATAAGTTATTAAGTTTTAATTTGTGAAGAAAACTCAGTGGCATTCATTTAAATGCAGCAACCATGTCTCCTTTAAAGTTATTTGCTAGTAACCTTCAAAAACAAATCAATCTGTGAGACATGCATTCTACCTGAATTTCATTTTTCAGCATCAAGGCAAAATATTTTTAAGGAACAAATCCAAACAAGTCACAAAATGTTTACACGGAATGTACCTAAAGTCTTGTGCTTTGCAGGTCCTTTATCCACCCAGACCACTCTCCTGCAAATTATCTTATTATGTTTAATAAATGTTGCCACTGAACAAAATCCAGGCAGCAATTACATTATCTAAAAAATCAGCAAAATCAATCAAAAGTGTGATTTCCAGGAGACGTGTTGCCTATAAAAATACCAAAATTGGCTCTCCAAGACTTAGTGTAGATAAAATTACCTTAGAACATCCACAACAGATAATCCAGTGTGATTTTGATTTTCAGTTTTACAGTTTTGCCCTCATCATAAGTGAAAAATGTGAATTTAATGTGCAACCGAACTTGGTTTGGTTTGATGTGAAGTTGGAAACAGAGACCAAATACATACCTTTTTGAAGTAGATTCTTTTTAATTCACATTACCCTTCCTTTGTGTTTTTAAGTGACTTCACTCTACATTCTCATACTGTACTGTACTTACATCACTGCCAAAACATGTTTGCAAACATTTCTAGTTGATTCTACTCAGTTATATTTTGTATTCATTAGGATACAAGGCTAAACAGGTTAACATGTTAGCCCTATTTGCACTGCAGGGTCAAATAGAGGTTGCCAGAACTTTATCCTTGTACGTATGATTACATATCAGGGCCAAATATCTACTTATCCAAATTAAAATAATTCAGCTTTTGTACATGTTTCTGTAGAAAAGAATTAAATTTAATTTAAATGTTATTACATGTTGTGTTGTCCCCAGTCTCTGAACCCATCACCTGTCAGTCTGACAGTGAATAAGCCCATGGGGGCACCTGCCAGCAGATGGCCTGGATATCCATTATCCAGACAAGACTTCCTCTTCTGTGCACCATTTTGGCTAATCTCTATAAACTGATATCTACATTTGAATGCAGATTTTTTTTAAAAAAAACAGGCTAATCTAAAGCTATGTCATGGTCAGACAATAGCTAATGGGTTCAGAGAGTGCATCTTGGTCAATGTGTTTTGCCTCTTTTGCTCTTCTTTTCCTACCTGTAATTCAAACATGATTGGTCAATACTACTCAGACTACAAACCAGACCACAAACCAGACCGCGTCAGATACCAAACTCTTGTCCCTCACCCTGATTCGTTCTGTCAGGCCTCAGTTATAAGAATCCTTTTAGTACTTAACTGTAACATTATCGGCTGGTAGGTTGAAGGTAAAAGTTATTTGTATATAATTAAATAATTGAGGCTTTATTTAATATGTGCCACACTTACTACCTACATTTTGCTGTATGGGTTGTGTTGTTTTATGATGTAATGGCTTGGAAGTTAAGACTTTTTTGGGGGGTTTCCACCCAGGTCACTTCATTTGTCAGCCTCAATAAATCAGGCGTATCTAATGATAATGAGTTAAAAGGAGCGTCTTGGCTAATTAACAACACATCACACATTTGAAAGCCTCACTGGTCAGTCCAGAACATCAGGGGAATTGGCAGTCTAAAACTATTTGGATATGGCTACAGAATGATGACACCATCTGCATTCAGATTGGCTCCCTAAAAGCGTAGTTTTCACTGTGCAATCCTGTCTGCCTGCGGGTACGGTCTCCTGGGAAAATATAGCGCTCTTGTTTTCCCCGCTAGCTATCAGTAACTATTCCCAGTTACCAAAGAGGATCAGTGTACGTTCTTTGCAGGGACTATCCCCCATAGCAAAAATGCTGAACAGTGAAACAATAGTAATAAGTGTGGAAACTGAACCCTGTAAAAGAAAAAGAGCCCCTCACTAGGCTCTGAAGAAAATGAAGGGTGAGGGGCTCTTTTTCTTTTACAGGGTTCAGTAAAAGAGCCCCTCACTAGGCTCTGAAGAAAATGAAGGGTGATCTGGTTGCCTCTACTTACAACTTGGAAACACCTTGTGAAGTCTAAGCATACTGTGTAATTTATAACCAAAGAAGATCCATACAGTTCCTGCTACCTTTAACATGTACAGCATTTAAGATGTCTTTTAAGTACGCCACATAATATAAAGTAATGATGAACTTTCTGTAAATATCATCACTGTATTCTACTATTACAGTACGTACCAAAGTGCCAGTGTAGTCCCTTTATAGGAATAGGATGGTCCTATTAGTTCAATAGTTATAAAGACGGGGCGTCGGTGGCTTAGTGGTAGAGCAGGCGCCCCATGTACAAGGCTGTTGCCGCAGCGGCCCGGGTTCGAGTCCAGTCTGTGGCCCTTTGCTGCATGTCACTCCCTCTCTCTCTCCCCCCCTCACACTTAACTGTCCTGTCCAATAAAGGCAAAAAATGCCCAAAAAAATATCTTTAAAAAAAAAATAGTTATAAAGACATCCAGCACACCACCCTTCAGTATGCAATGTACTGTGTGCACATCATTTGTCATGTGCTGTATACAAGGAGTGCATACATTCAGTCTGTGGGTGGCCTCACTGGGAGTTGCATCATCTGTCCTTAAAACTTATCGTCACCGTCAGTTCATTAAAATGCCTGAAATTGCACTAATTGAAAAAGTGTGTTGTCAAGTTGTTTTGCCTGGTTGAGGGTGGAGAATAAAATTAATTAAAACTGTTCTGTTGTTTATCTTTGAGTGGACTGTAACACTGAATAAATCTTCCCCTGCAGAGATATTTGGAGGTTTGGCTGTTGTTAAATAAATGATGATACAGTATCATGCTGTGTATGTACGAGTCACAAGCAGTGTCTAAATATTTCATGCAAAGGTACACACACATGTATGTGTACAGCTCTAGGTATGAATCTAATATGGATGGAAATATAGTGCAGACCTTGTCAGAGGACTTCAAAGATTTTTTTCTACTTCTATATTTTAAATAAAGCATATGATTTCAATCGAATTACTTGGATGTGAAACTTTAAATGTCATAAATCGTGGAGCATGCAGTATACTACATAAGCAGTAATAATCATTATTTAATATTCAGCACATACTTAATTTGGTTGAATATTCAGTGAACAATTCAGAAAAAGGCTAATATCACCCCAGAAATATGGCACACTCTGGAGGTCTTTACAGCTCCAAAATGACAGAACCAGAAACTTAAATCAACCCAGAAAATTCATCCAATTGGACCCAATGAATAATAAAGTTTAAAAAAAGGCCCATTTGTGCCTGAGATATAACAGACTTGACTAGGTCTTGGATCTCTCTAGCCTTAGTCATGTACCGGGTCGGGTCCTGTCTGGGTCTCAGTTTTTGGGTCTATTTTATGGACCCCAAGAAACCCAGAAATTAAGATTCCTACTAAAATGTTTTACTGCTAAAACATTGTGCCATGTAAAACACAACATAGTGTTCTATCCAATCTCACTGTATATAATATGTAATGATGTTTCTGATGTCTTTTTCCCCCCTTTATTTTTTATTCTCTTGCGACACTTACTTTGTTGTTGTTGTGAGCTGCACTTGCCCACCAGCAACCAGTTTACTTTAATTATTAGTGGCTTAATTAGACTGGGTGATGTGAAAATACCTGGGGGGGGACAGCTACTCCTCACATCATATGAAACAATGAAAAAAATCACATACAAATGAGACAAACACAACTGTTTCATCTTTTTTTTATTTAAGATATTTTTGGGGGCTTTTTAGCCTTTAATATATAGGACAGACAAGTGTGTGTGTGTGTGTGTGTGTGTACATGGGGCACCTGCTCTACCACTAAGCCACCGGCGCCCCAACAACTGTTTCATCTTTTAATGAAAAAGTATTCAACTTTCCACCGTTCCTGAAAGCTCCAGCCCAAAATGTCGGCTTAACGCTTTTTTGCTGTGACCATATCTGCTACCTAGCAGGAAATGTTAAGTAATTATGAACAGTCCATATTAAGGTCTGTTTGTGAAATGCTGATGCATGTCTCCAGACTGTATGATAGTCCTGCCATCATGACGTGGAGGAATAAAATGTAAAGCCATCTTGCTTGATTAACCAGTACTGTGTGTGGCAGGCCACATTTATTTTGAAAGACAAGCTGCGGGCTATTTAAAATCGGTCCATGGGCCACCATTGGCCCTCAGACCGGACTTTGGACATGCCTTGGTTAGATTCTCCTCAATTCAACTGTTCAATTGATTTTGCAGAAACCATGAGCACCAAAGTGTAACTTTGTATGGCATGGTTAACAAGAGAGACAAAAAATGGTGACTCCCAACATTTGAAGTGATCATTAAGTCTGAATATGTGTCCATTCCCTGATTATTTATATTCCTTTAGCCTGTAAAGTGTAGCTATTGATCAATAAAATCAAGAGTGTTTCATACAATTAATTTGTGAATATTGTTGGGCTCACTCTCCATCTCTCCTCCACACTGCCTCCAACTCATTGACACTGTTGTGCCAACTGGCGCAATGAGTTGCTCTTGTAATCTGATCCTAAGTCAACTTAATCATCATGTAAGTTACATACACAGCACTTGTGTTTTTCTCTCATGATCAGGTCTGATCACAAGTCTTCTCGGATCCACTCAGATATTTCACATAATGATAAACAGACCCACGGTAATAGAATGGGACCCGGACCAGTACTCTGAACACTTGCCACTAAGTTTCAATTGGAACAAAATGTAATTGTTGCTTCACATTAAGAACATAAGTGAATAGATGTTTAATCAGCATGTTCAGATTGGAACTTTCACTTGAATTAAGACAGGATTAAGCTGCCATAAGATTCTTTGAGAAACATTACCATGCAAAACATTCACTTTTCACATCTAAGTGTTCTTGGCAGTGGTTAAAACGACGTCAGCTCCTTTACACATTAGAGGAGCTCATGTGGAAACTGTTGCAAAGGAGTATACAGAGGGATCTGGTGTTTGTTTGTTGTATTCTCTTTCTCCCTATTTCTCCTGTTTCTCCTGCTGCTTCGAGGACTTCCTGCTGGATGGAACCTATTAATATTTTACTCCTACCACCACCACAGAGGAGAAAATTATTTCCCCGCCTTATCAACAACAAAGGAAGGAGCTGTTGTGAATGGTCTTGGAGGAGTGGTCGTGTTGTTCTGCTCCACCAACACACAGCTTAAAATAACTTGTTTGGTTTCTTCCCACCTGCTCATATTCTCTACAACTCCACAACCATTATTAATGATACCCGCAGTCTCAGGCTTGAGTTCAAAGTACAGCCACAGCTGTGCAAGGCCAGTCCTCCAATTATTTTTTGCTGAGGATTGGATGTACCATGTGTCTAAATGAAATCTTGATCATATTGTAAGCTACGTCTTACGTCAGATATCAGAATAAATTGGCATATGACACATGCAGCGTGTGATGTGCAGGGAGTGTTGTCACGGATGTCACAAGATTCACTTAATGGTGTGATCACGTAGCTCAGTATGTGAGAGCAATGTTTGCATAAGATTATTCGACCCTTAAATACACTGAAAACATTCTTCAATATTTATTCAACGCTGCCCCACTCCGGAAACACCCATGAGAGTCAGAAATATTTGTATTACTGTCAGCAAATACTCACTGATATGACATTTAAATTCTTACCAAGAAGTATCTGCATGTATAAGTGTTGGAAGATTATATAACGCACTGTGTGTGCACATATGAGATTGGTCACAGTGGTTCTGCTGTAGTATGAAGCATCACTGACCTTGCTGACAGTGTTTGTTTCCCTTCTGTCTCTCCTGTGAGAAACTTTGAGTCGATGTGTGTGACTGTCGGTCATCTCTGCCCGTCTCACTCTCAATCTGTCTATCCCTCGACTTTCACTTCTCCTCTTCAGCTGTTCACACCGAGCGACATGAGCAGGCAGATGTACAGACAGCAGAGGAGAGTGAGGGCTGTGCTCTGTCTTACATCACTGTGGGGACAGAAGCAGACAGTATGTTCTAGGTGTCTTTTATAGCAGATGCTATTTGCAGTCATGTATCTGGAGCCAACAATGCTCTTGGTACTCAGGGTGTAAATAGCATCATGACAAAGGCAAGCACCCAGGTACCTCTAGCCAGCAAGCAACCGGTCTATTTAGCTGTTCTGCTAAAGTTCATGTACACAGTGTGCACTCATCAGCTTTATACTTCCTAAAAACTCAGAATGATAAGTCAACTAAGGTTAAATAAAGATATCAACCCACACAAGACTCAAACCCGTCTCCTCAGACCATTCTCATTCCCAGGGCATCACATACCGCCATTTTGTTATGCCCCTCAGCATGTGATATCAGCAATGAAGGCGATTTTTGGTGTCTTTATGAGATGCAACAGGCTTTTAACTGTCTTCTGTAATACTTGATGCTGAGAGCAACTGACATAGTGAAAAGAGTGAGAAAGTTGATACCAAATTTTCATGCTGGACGCCACGGTTCATGTCCAATGTGAAACGGGAAGTCAGTATTGTTTTGATGTTACAATTTAAACATGGTCGTCACACACTGATGTCACTCACATGACGTATTTATGTGATGATACATTTTAAACATATGTATTTTAACCAAAAACATAATCTTTTTTCTAAACCTATCCACAGCTGTTTCACAATTTAACCATGAGTTATACCTGTCACAGTCTGCTTTTCTCCCTCACCTGCACCCTGCCATCCAGCCACGCCCAGGGATGGGCAGTATTTCTATTACTTGTATTTAAAATATGTATTTCAATTACATTTGAGTATTTTGTAATTTGTATTTGATAAGGCCGATAAAAAGCAAATGTAATTTGTAACAAAATACTTTTGAGTGGAGTAATTTTGTATTTAAAATACTCAAAATACTTTCTCCACAAATCAAAAAACAAAAATAATAGGCTACACATTCTTATAATATTGGATGTAAAAATATACATTTACTTATTTTTTGTAAAAAATATTTTTATCTATAGGTTTTTTTAAACTTGGGCCATTCAATGTGCCCTTCAGTGACCTAGTGGTCTGTTTTACTGGACTGTGCATAACATAGGAAATTGTATGTTGTTGTGGTTGATGCTTGGGATGAGTATGCTACAAATGAATTGCCTCACATGGGATCAATAAAGTTGTCTGAATATAAATCTGAATCAATAAATAATATTTTAGGCTAGCCTAAACCAAATTGTGAGAAAACAAGCACAAATTTACAATAGCTGCGACCAAATTTGCTACTATCACGACATTAATGGATGAATCATGGTTGTTCTTTCTGGCATAGTTACTTGTGGTCTCCAATTGCAGCATGTAAATTTTGAGCATTTTTGGTCAAGGACTTTTTGAGTTATTCACAAAAACATTTGAATCGGTTAGTATAGCGCCACCTATGGAGGAATCGTGGGCATTCTTTCTGGTATAGTTACCTCCGCCAAAGAGGTTATGTTTTTGCCGACGTTGGTCTGTTTGTCTGTTTGTCTGTTTGTCTGCAAAATAACAAAAAAAGTTTTGAACGGATTTTGATGAAATTTTCAGGAAAGGTTGATAATGGCACAAGAAGCAGATGATAAAATTTTGGTGGTGATCGGTTGAAGCGAAGTGGATAAAATAATAAAATGGTGGGAAATCCAAGCTGCTTGGCGGAGGTCTGCACTCTCCGAGTGCTCTAGTTACTCATGGTCTCTAGTTGCAGTATGCATATTTTGAGCATTTTTGGTCAAGGACTTTTTGAGTTTTTCACGAAAAGCTTTGTGGACCGA